TTTTTTTTTTTTTTTTATATGTAACTTTGGAGCAGTTTTACGTATTAGAGTTCAGCAGTAGCCACCTAACACATTTCTGTTCTAGTATCCCTGTTAATGTTTCACAATTATCACATTCTGATGTAATGTTCGCCTTGATCATCATTTGTCGCATCTAAATTATTTGGAAAGAATTAGGTGTGAATGCAAAAAAATATAAATTTTTACACATGTATGCAATATGACAATACTATTTCATAATAATTTTTAATAGATCTATTTTAACGGTACTACATCAACGTACTATGTCTTAAAAATTTGATCTAATGGATTATTTTTAACAGCAGATTCGAACTCAGCGTTTCAAAATACGTTAAAAAAGTTGTTCCTTCCTTGCACTAAAAATTATTTACAATTTGTATATGCAAATTTATTTATAATATCAAATAGGGTATCTTCAACATGATTAAAATGCGATTGTATCCGCATTTGATAAGTGATATATATTACTTAATTGTGCAGATATTAATCACTGTGAAGAAAGTATATCGTGCATCGAATTATTTACAGTATATTTGTTAATTATTTGATTTAACGTGTGTTCTTATTACTATGATGCAATGATGCAAATGTACAATAATTATATTTCATATATTGTGTTCATTCACGAAATTTAAGTTTCATTAAATTTTAATCCAAAATTGTATAATATAACAAATTAATACTATACCGAGTGATTATATCGTACATTTACCGTCGTGATAAAAAGTACCAAATATTTCTTAATTTCTCATTTTATACTCCATATTGATAAAGTTGATATGCAATATGTAATAATTTCTGACGTCAGATAATATATTTCAATTTGTAGGTTTATTAATATGTCTATGTCGATCTTAAGGTTTAACTGATATTTATTTCCTATTGTAGTTTAATGATAATAGTTTCTTAAACGGTACTAATGATACGCGCATGATTTTACGTTAAATTAGGTAGCAAAGAAGCGAATATTTTAGTTCTTTATAAACTTATTTACATTTGTATATAATATATTTATTTAAAACTTTAATGCCATAATGATAACGCTTTCTGAGATATCAAACTTTGCATATTTTGATATTACAATGTTTTTGAATAACGTTCCAATTTCCAAACAAAAAAAGATAAAAATTTCAATTTAACATAAAAGATTCAAGGAATCCAATTCAGATTCAAGGAAAACCAATTAACCAATTTCAAATGCATTTATTACACAGAATAGATTTTTAAATAACATTTCTATTTAAATATACTTTCTTGAGATAATAGTTCTTTCTTCTAAAGTTATTTTCTTTTTTTCTGTTATAAAATTAAAATAATAATATTTCTCGATTTAAGATAAGTCTAAATAAAAATTATGATTTTTAAGAATCTTTTTTTTAATTAAAGTATAATTTAATGTAACATATGTAATCTTGTTAAAACAAAGTTACATGATGCTTTTTTAACAAGCAGTGTAGTCTTCTAACAAATGAAAACTAACAGTTAGAGAAAATTTTATAAGTTATTAACCATAAACTATATATCTACAAAACCTCATCAGAGTAACATTTTAATAGTATAAGTAAAGGGCTATGAGCTAAAATACCAAAGGTATTCGAGCAATAAATTTGAAATATATAATTATAGAATTAAATTTTTCTTTTAACTGCTAGTATTGGCTAAAAGCATGCTAGTTGCTAATAAAACAGCATTATGTAAACTTTGCTTAATAATTAGTAATATATAAACCGTGCAGTTTTTTATTTCTTAGCGAAATTAAAATAATACAGTACTGAGATTTATTTAGTTGCACATTTCAACCGATTTTCAGCTTGGTCGATCGGCGTTTAGGCTGCGCGCGGGTTGATGAAGTAAGGAGCAAAAACCAAATTGGAAATCGGCCGAAATATGCAACTAAATACCAACACTGAAGTAATATAAACAATTTAAATAAATTATGTTCCTTTTCTTTGTTTCTTAAAACTTTTCTAAGTTTTCTGCTTTCCACACTTTGATTTTTATCATGACATATTTTCTTCTCATTTTCTCTCACTCTATTACAGATATAAATATTGTATCTTAAATAAATTTTGATGTGTGAAAGTACAATTTTGTTTAGTTTAAACATATATTAAAATTTAAATTATTCCACTTTTCATGGAATTATTACATATATTATGATTCATAGCTGAAAGTAATATTTTTTCAAATATCTTTCCGATAAAATATATATATGTATGTAAAAGAATGTATGTGCGTTGTTTTTTTTATTTTCATTCAAAACTAATTTTTTTTATTTATCTGATGTTTTGCTTTTAAACATTTTGTTTCCTTTTACTGTGTTTGGAGCCTGAAAAAGTTATGTAATGAAGGAAATATAACATTTATTAGATAATTCTAAATATTTTAAATATTTTTTAAAAATAATTATTTGAAAAAACTTCATTGTCAACTAAAGACAGTTTACAATTAAATGATTTTTTATCGAATTTTATCTTAATACACCTGCATGCATAAATAAAGAATAAATGCATAGGAATACATAATCATGTATATTTAAAAAAACAATATATGTACGAGACATAAAATTACAAAATTCAGAAGAGAATGTAAAATGATTAGAATAATTTGCTCTTCATTGTCTACAACAATCTCGAAATCACACAAATTACTTTTTATGTTATTAATGTTAATTATTGTGTGTATAACATTAAATTTTATTTATTTTTTGAATATTCTCAAGGTATACTTCTAATTCTTTATTTCGACCTATATTTTCACAAACTGAAAAATGTAAAAGAAGTATTTTTGAAACTTGCAATTTAAACTTAAAAATTCGATATTTTTTAAAAAACACCATGATTACGGCGCATTGAAATATATTATAATATACAGAATGCTCCAAACTTTTTGACGTTTGTGGGCAGGTAGATCGAACAAACTAAAAAGTCAAAAAGTTTGGAACACCCTGTATATTATAGTATAAGTTTCAATATTATGTGCAATTATAACAAATTTGGAAAACAAAAAATATTCTCGTTCATTTGTTCTCCTATTTAACGTGAAATCGTGTATGTACAGTCAGCAATTAAAGATTGCAACGGTTTCTTTTCGATGAGTTTTGGAATACAAACTGTTCATTAAGCGATTGATTTTTATTTACGAATTTATAAGTAAGAACCAATTGTTCAGTGAAGTAGATTGTATTCCGAAATTCATTTGAAAAAAAGTCTTACCCTTTTAGGCGGACTGTACAATTTTTCAACAGCAGAATAAAGCTGATCGTTTCTGCTTAAATTATTTATTTTATACAATAAAAAGCGATTTATATATGACCAAATCGAGTAATGTAGATTCGAATATTTATTTTCATGGGAATTTATTCAGAAAATTCCAATCTACAATATCGGAATAATGCAAACATTTATATTCAGTGGCAAATCAAATATTTAAGCTCTTTTTAATCACTTGAAAACAATCTCCATAAATACGTCAAACTATGATACTATTATATGTATAGTATCAAGTATCAATAAATAAGTATCAGACACTTATAAATTTTATTTGTACAATTTTGAAAATAATGAAAAAGACAATAAGCCCTAAAAAATATACATAAAATTGAATAATATTTTTTATTCGCAAATTATCTTTGGATATACATATAATGTATATTTATTTCTTACTGGTATAAATATATCTTTGTAAAATTTGATGATACAATTTTCTCTTTATTTATAAGCATTTTCCATTTATCTATATATTAAATTGATCTTGATACAAATGTACACACTGATAATATCATACATTACTCAAAATGTAAAATTAGCGAAATTTGATATATGTATTGAATGTTACAAATGTGTTATGAC